TCTCGTTTGTGTTTTTTTTTTTTTTTTTTTTTTCTTGTGATCGATGGTGTGGATCGCATTGTGATTGTAATGCTTTTGGATTTTGTAAATGTGAAGATATTTTGATTCTTGTTTGTTTTTGATTCTCAAATGGTTTGTGTTATCTGATGATCTTAAAACTTGGATTTTAATTCATCATTCGTTTGAAGTTTCGTTTTAATCCACCGGGACATGGTTGTTATTGTTACGTTCAACTTCTCTAGTGCAAACCGATTATCGATTATGTTATTTAACAACTCTGTTATTGATAACGCCTACTATGCTTAGCACTAGTGTGGCATTTTGGTGGGGGATCAACGCTTGTTTAATTTGGATTATCAAACACTTAAACTTTGTAAGCTTAGCTTGATTCCAAGGAGTCTTCTGCATAGAGAAAATATTGTTCAAACGTCTTTGTAATGTTAAGGAAATTTATTATAGGACAATATGATGATGATAAGTTACTCTCACTTTGGGGTAGATTGTTTTTGTTCTTTGAGTTTTCTTGAATATGGATTCTTCAAGTGCTTCCCCTATTACTTACTGGTGAAGCAAATATGTTGAATCAACGATGAATCTTTAAGGAATATTCGCTTTGTAAATCCTATACATTTCTAGTTTAGATTTTTAAGTAGAGAATATCTTTGTAAAATCCCTCAAATGGTGTAACTACTCAGGCTTTATATGCCAATCCAATCTTGCGTGTAGGGCTTAGGGAATCAAGAATATAAAAAAAAATCTTATTTTTTTGTCAAAATGCATTTTACAGCGAGAATGTTTTTATACAACTTTAAATCATAGTATCTATCAGGAAAGATTTAATTTATGGACGGTTTGGCATGATTCCTCTAATTAAGAAAAAAAAAAAAACAGCCTCCTATCATGTGTATTCTTTAACTATAAACTAGATTTTCAATTTTCAATAATTAAGGAGGCCACCAACTACTTTATTTCTAAGAGATATTCCCTCAACTCTTGCATGTCACCTTTTTCAAACGGTGAGTTTGATTTGTTGATGTTTTATGAAAGTGACGTTCTTGTTTTTCTTCTTTTTGTCACGAATGAAAGTCTCGTTCTTTTTTGAAAAATCTTGTTTTTTTTGGAAATGTTCGTACTGAAATTTGGAAATCTTGTTTTTGGATATGTTCGTACTGATATTGACCTCTTTGGAAACTGAGTCAACATAATCTAATCGTTCTCATCCTGATGCAACCACTCATACTGATCCATCTGAGTCAGCCACAAGGTTTAATGAGTATACATTTCCAAAACTACATTCTTCTTGCCTTTTTCGTATGCGTTATTCTATAAACAACTCAAACATCTGGCAATGTATTCACACCGACATAACACCAAGCCAATCTCAACACTCTTCTTATCCTCCTCATCTCATTACAAATCCTCTCTAATTTAGTCTCTCACTGACCATAAACAACAACGCGTTTTCACTCCTCTGTTCGTGCTCTTCCTCCTCGGTTTGTCTTTTGCTAATTCCATGGCAGCCTCAGAGTTAGGTCCCGTGGTCCAAACGACCCCGCTCGTCACCTTCCTCCAGCGCGTGCAGCTTACAGCACACCTGTCCTACCCGAAGACACAAACCCCTGACCCAAAATTCTACATTGACCTATCTCTCAAGCCTCCCCACCATCTCTCCACCATCGAGTCCGCCTTCAACGACCTCACGAGCGGGTCACGTGACCTGACGGTCCCAGTGGATAAGCTTGAAAAGTTCGTGGAGGAATACTTCGACGATGGGAAGGATCTGGTGCCTCATGAACCAGAGGATTTCGTCTCTGACCCCTCCGAGTTCCTACTCAACGTGGAGAACGACCAAGTCAGAGAATGGGCACGTGAGGTGCATGTCCTGTGGAGGACACTTTGCTACAGAGTCTCTGACTCCGTGAGAGAGTCTCCTGACCGGCACACGCTTCTACCGTTACCGGAACCGGTTATTATTCCCGGTTCTAGATTCAAAGAAGTCTATTACTGGGATTCTTACTGGGTCATCAAGTCAGTGTTTATCAACTTTTTTTTTGTCAAAATAATTTATTAAATTACATTACGTGTTGACTACATAACACAAGCTCTCACGTGTCAATGTCACGTTTTGTGTACTTTTGCACGTGCAGAGGACTTTTGATTTGTAAAATGTTCACTACGGCCAAAGGGTTGGTGACAAATCTGATGTCACTTGTGGAGACTTATGGTTACGCGTTGAACGGCGCTAGAGCTTATTACACTAACCGAAGGTAATCAAAGTTAGATAATTTTCTCACAGTAATAAAGATGTTTTAATGTTAACAGAAGGTAAAATATTTTTAAACTGTTACAAGCCAACCACCTCTATTGAGCTCAATGGTCTATGAGATTTATAATGCAACCAGAGATGAAGAACTTGTGAGGAAAGCTATCCCTGTGCTTCTCAAAGAGTACGAGTTCTGGACCTCTGGTTAGTTTTTTTTCAGTTAGAGTTATGTAATGATTTGTTGTATTCTTAGATTTAACGTTGGCTATAATTAATATATCTTTTAATTTAATTTGTAGGAAAACACAAGGTAGTTATTCGAGACGCTAGTGGTTATGATCACATGCTAAGCCGTTATTACGCCATGTGGAACATGCCTAGACCTGAATCCTATGTTTTCGTATGTTTCTTGTCTCATTACCGCAGGTAAACTGTTTCTTCTTACTGTAAAAATATGTTTAATCTTTCTCTATGTGTACCACAGGATCAAGAATCAGCTTCAGAGATTTCCTGTACGTTAGAGAAGCAACGGTTCCATAGAGATATAGCCACGGCAGCTGAAACAGGATGTGATTTCAGCACACGATGGATGAGGTTACATTAATTATCAAAAACTGCGAATAGATTGGTTTATCTTATTGTCACGCTTAATTAATATCAAATAATATATTCAGGGATCCTCCTAATTTCACAACGTTGGCTACAACATCAGTTGTTCCTGTCGATCTAAACGTTTTTCTTCTCAAGGTTTCTCTACTTTCTTGATCACATTATTGTTTAAAGATTTGTATAGACGAATATGCTTAAGCCTTTATATGGTTATAGATGGAACTCGATATAGCGTTCATGATGGAGACTGCTGGGGATAAAAACGGTTCAGAGCGTTTTGTGAAGGCGTCAGAAGCGAGAAAGAAAGCGTTTGAAACTGTGTTGTGGAACGAAAAGGCAGGACAGTGGTTAGATTACTGGCTCTCCTCCAATGGTGATGTAAGTTACAGAATCTTTAGTTACAATGTATGATTTGTGATGGTATTCAGACATTAGAAGCGTGTTTATGTCTTCAGGAACCTGAGACATGGAAAGCTGAGAACCAGAACAACAATGTTTTTGCATCTAACTTTACTCCAATCTGGATTAGTTCCTTCAATTCAGGTAAAACTATGTCTGCACTATTATACATATACGTTTTGTGTATAAACGTTTTATCTTTGTAACATGTAGATGAAAACCTTGTCAAGAAAGTTGTGAAGGCTCTTGAAAACTCAGGGCTCATTGCTCCTGCTGGGATATTAACCTCTTTGACAAACTCAGGACAACAGTGGTAAATGAAACTTGCGTCTCAAGTATTCACTTTGAAATCTTTTAAATTACTTGAATGTTGAGATTTTGCTGTAATGTATAACAGGGATTATCCAAATGGATGGGCACCGCAACAAGAGATGATTGTTACAGGGCTTGTGAGATCTGGTCTGAAGGTAGCTAAAGAGATAGCAGAGGAGATTGCAAGGAGATGGATCAGAAGCAACTATAGTGTTTATAAGACAAGTGGGGGTATTCATGAGAAACTTAATGTTGCAGATTTTGGTGAGTATGGTGGTGGAGGTGAATATGAGCCACAGGTAAAACATTTTTTATTTGAGCTCTCTTCTGAGCTTCTTTTAGTTAGTGGGAATTTAGGGGTCTAAATTGTACCAACAGGAATATCAGGGTTAAATTGCATTGTTCAGGGTATTTGAGGGAGGATTTTTACATTTATCTTTTCTTTTTTTTTTTGACATCATTTATCTTTGTTGCAAAATATTGCAGACGGGTTTTGGATGGTCAAACGGAGTTATATTAGCATTCTTGGAGGAGTTTGGATGGCCCTCTCACCTCAGCATTGAACCTTAGATTTACTACCTTCTATTCATTAATAAAGGAATTACCCATTTTATTCTATCCAAAAATATTTATAATAGTGCCGTGGTAAACTTGATCGTATTTTCTTTATTGTGAATCTTTTGGGGTTTTTCTTTCATAATGTTTTATGATCAAGCATCGACTAGTGAGGTTTTATAGATCTAATAACGTTTATTGCTTACGGTTTAGTCTGTTCAATCTATTACAACCACTCATGACAATAATATATACTACTAAGAATAGATGAATGGTATGAATTATTAGCCAAAAGTTTATGTTTTATAAGCATCTATTTCAGTTGGTTAACACGTTGGGGTAAGATGACAAAATGCTTTACTTTCAAATAATCTTTTGTTTAAAATTATAGAAAACCATTCGTAATATCGTTTCGGCCTAAACCACTTGGATAGATTCTTTGAGTGATGAACCATCTGAGCTCCCTTTTGGTATCCTTGAAAAGTTAATATATCGAATTTGTTTTTTTCGACGTCACAATTTGATATTAACAACAAAAACTCGATAACAAATCAAAGAAAAGCCTTGAGCATACGAAGAGAAACTAGATTTTGATCCGCGCTTGAAAGCGCGAAAATTTTTTATAACTAAAATATATATAATTGGGTTATGTCTTAATTTAAAGAATGTTATGATATAAAATCATTTTATCAAAATTTGTGGTGACGATTTTTTTCATTAGTTTTTAGTTTCAGTTTTTATTTTTAGATTTTGGTTTTTAGTTTTTAAGTTTTTAAGTTTCTATTTTTGATTTTCAGCTTTTGTTTGGGTTTTTAATTTTTGGATCCGCTGAGTTAGTTTGAACTGATATTACCAACAAACAAATTTCAAATAATCGAACATCTAATTTAAAACTGAAAAGATGACAATTTTTTTTTAAAAAAAAATTGCAATAGTTTATTTTGTAAATAAACAAAAGCAAAAACTATAACAATATGTTATCCAGAACAATGCGTTTTGAGCTTTTGGTTTTGGATTTTAGTTTTTAGAATTGGTTTTTGGTTTTGCTTTACATTTATTTTTCTAAATCAGTAAATTATTTAAGAAAAATAAAACAATAAATTATTTAAAAGTTACCATTGAAATTTATCAAAAAAGTGATTGTTATTTAAAATAAAAAAATACAATAACATGTTTTAAAGTACATGATTTAAATAAATGATTAATAATAGACAATTTTGTTTTGTTAAAAATATTAAATACATATGGGCCTGATAATAATAATTGATTTTTTTGATCCATTAAGATAGAAATTTTATTCAATGTTTTTTGGAGTTTTTTCTTAATAGTAAGCCAAAAAATCAAACCATATAATTTGTCCTAAAAACAAAAGTAAGTCTAAGACTATATCCCATAAATAACCATCGGTTTAATTTAAGTAATGCGGTTCAATTAACTATATGGCTTGTTGTAACACTCTAGAAAGAGTCCAAATTTAAATGACAATTTGTATTAGTAGATAAAAAGAAATACTCTATTTTAATAGAGTAGATTTCCATTGGTTTCATATAATTATTAAATTTCCCTTTTTTAAGGAATTGTTAAGATGCTAAATGGTATATTACGATTTCCACATTAATATAATTAGTAGATTTCCATATTCCATATTTTGATAATATATATTCTTTTAGAACATTCCATATTTGTAGGAGAAAATATGTGTTTTTGGTAGACACATAGATATCTGCCGTATTTTGAAGATAGTTTACATTAAGGTCACCATGTTACATTAATTGTGTTGGTTTAATTTAAGTAATGTGGTTCAATCAATTATAAGACTTATATTATTTGTAACACTCTAGAAAGGGTCCAAATTTAAATGACAACTTGTATCAGTAAATAAAAAGAATCATAATTAAGTTTCTATTTTTATTTTTAGATTATCTGCCGTTTTTATTTTTAGATTTGATTTTAGATTTTGGTTTTTGGTTTTTAATTTTTAAGTTTCTAGTTTTGATTTTCAGCTTTTGGTTTGGGTTTTTAGCTTTTAGATCCGCTGAGTTAGTTTGAACTCATAATTACCAACAAACAAATCCCAAAGAATCGAACATCTAATTTAAAACTGAAAAGATGAGAATTTTTATTTAAAAAATGCAATAGTTTATTTTGTGTAAATAAACAAAAGAAAAGCAAAAATATAACATGTGTTTTTAGCTTTTGGTTTGGATTTTAATTTTTAGATTTGGTTTTTAGTTTTGCTTTACATTTATTTTTTTTAAATCAGTAAATTATTTAAAAAATAAAAAAATAAACTGTTATAAAAGCTAGCATTGAAATTTATCAAGACAAAGTGATTGTTATTTAAAAAAAAAAATATTAACATGTCTTAAAGTACATGATTTAAATAAGTAATTAATAATATATAATTTTGTTTTGTTAAAATATTAAATACTTTTGGACCTTAAAATAGTAATTGATTTTTTGATCCATTAATGTAGAACATTTATTCAATGTTTTTTTGGAGTTTTTCTTTAATACTAAGCCCAAAACCCCAAACTATATAATTTGTCATAAAAACAAAAGTAAGTCCAAAACTTTATTACATAGATAACTGCCAGTTTAATTTAAGTAATGCGGTTCAATCAACTATATGACTTGTATTATTTGTAACACTCTAGAAATTGTCCAAATTTAAATGACAACTTATACCAGTAGATAAAAATAATGACTCTATTTTAATAGAGTAGATTTGCCACTATAACCATAAAAAAACACACAAATACACTAAATAACCAAAATCACATTCTCTCTCTCCTTTCTTCCTGTCTATCTCTACTTACTCTCTCTTTTAAAAATTTAATTTTCTTTTTTCTAGCTATTTGGAAAATACACCCCTATTTTAAAGCAATATTATTGCTAAATGTCAAATCAAATGCTTTTCCACAGAAAATAAAAAGTAACTAGATTTTATTTTATAATAGAAAATAAAGTATAACATGGCACATAAACCATCCATAAGAAATTAAAAAAGCAACAAAAAAAATCATAAAGAAGATTATTAAATTTTAAGTTCAAAGTCTTTAATAAATTGAATTTTTAACTTAAAACATTAAAACTAAAACAAAAATGTGTAAAGTTTCGTATTTGCAAAACTCAAAATTTGGTGCAGTGCAGGGCCGAGAAAAGAGAGCTAATCATTGAAGAAGTTGTCCTCTACTTTTATATTAAAGTACCTTTTAAATTTTCTTCTAAGATCATCACAGTTTAGTCCCATCGAAGCAACTACACTGTATAGTTCCACAATTTGATTACAATGTTTGATTTGATATAAAGCAAACGGGTGTAATTCCTTTTAGGTTATTAAAACATGGATAAACTGTATACTAAACTAACTTTTAATTCAGGAAACTGAAACATTGACATTGTTGGTCGATCCCCGCATAAAAGAGATCGAGAACATGATAGTATAAAATTATACTGCGGCATGCAAAGCTGCGGCTATGACCAAAAAATCGGCTTGCCCAGCTAAAGCCATGTCCACATACTAAGTCGAGAGCAATAAACTATGTCAATTCACATTAAGTTATGATAATAAAACTATGGAATCTAACACTTAATTTGGTGTTATTTGAGTTGTTGGATTGAAATGGTTAGTGGGGGCTGTATTATTCATAGATGCTACTTAAATAAGTGATTAATGACTATTGCGTGATCAAAAAGTGGATTACTAGTCAAATATAGTTGGCAACAAATACTATATATTTAATCAATGATTAACGTTTAATTAGTAGTTATTTAGTTTAAGCTGGAAAAAGGTTTTTAGAAGTTGGAAAATTGATCATAAACAGAATCTTCTTTTGGATTAATCAGATTGTGTACCAGACGAATCGTAATATAAAATTTACAGCTTGTTTTATTAAAAAATTAATAAACTCTTTTTAAGAACAGCCATTTTGTTATTTCTTTTATTTGTTGGCATAAATTTGCAGCTTATATGATAGTCATGAAAGGCACGTTCAGCTTTGTGTTGGCATTACTTGTTACTGATATTTAAACTAATGAACAAAAGTTAGTAGTTCCCTTCTTAAATACCAAAACTAATGTGCTATTAAAGAAATGCATAATCACCTGAGAGGACTAATATCACATTCGCTCATATACTGTGTGATGTGTATCATCATATTTTGTATTGTGAACCGAATTTAGAAAACTGCTAATCAATATCTACGACATACTGAAATCAACTTCTTCATCAATTAAATCAACGATAACCTAGACAAAAATATTTAATTTAATCTCAATAATTTATTGAACTTTATAGTTAAAAGAGTTATTCTTGGGTTCACCCCCTAGGGTGAATCTAGAGGTTCACCATCCAATAGTATTTCACTATTTCATATTAGATATCTTTCAAAAAAGGAAATAAAATCTTGTTAAGTTATATTATGTTTTTAAAAATAAAAATACAATAATAAATAAAAAAATAATAATAATTAATAAAAACGAAAATGTTGTTTTTTGAAGAAAATATTTTAACACTAAACCCTAAACTCTAATTCTAAACCCTAAACCTCTGGGTAAATCATAAATCTTTGGATAACTTTTATAAAAAAAAGTTCTTTAAAAAAAATATTTTAACACTAAACCCTAAAATCTAATCCTAAACCTAAACCCTTGGGTAAATCATATACACTAAACCCTAAACTCTAAACCCTAAACCCTTGGGTAAATCATAAACATTAAATTTTTAAAACATTACAAGATTTATCTAAAGATTTATGATTTAGCCATGGTTTTAGGGTTTAGGATTATAGTTTAGGATATAGTGTTAAAATATTTTCTTTGAAAATATTTATTTTCATTTTTATTAATTATTTATTTATTTATTTTTTCTTTAATTTTTATTTTTATTTTAAAAAACATAATATAACTTAATAAGATTTTGTTTCCTTTTTAAAAAGATATCAAATATGAAATAATCAAATGCTATTGGATGGTGAAACTAGAGGTTCACCCTAGGGGGTGAACCCAAGAATAAGTTTGTCCATCAATGATTTGGATGAACATAATAACTGATGTTAGTTTTGTGTTAAAATGAGAATCATCCAAAAGAATATAGGGGAAACTGTTTTTTTAGACCAAATAGGTTTGGACATTGTCCTTTTAGTCTAAATTATATTTTGTACCAATTTTGACTCTAATGCCCTTTATTTATTTCTGAAATTATTAAAAAAATAGATTTATGATGTAATTTTTTTTTAAAAAATAGTACATAGTGATGAAACCCCTATATCTATATAGTGATATTTTTTTCCTGTTTTAAAAATGTGTAAATAATAATTTCATATATTATTCTACTGAAATTAGAATCCGTATACTACAGATTAGAATACGAAATCTACTTTTTTCACTATTTCTACGAACTGTAGAATATGTTTTCTACGGAGATAACACGAATCTAAAATAGTTTGGAATACACATTCCACACTTATCATAGAGTTCTAATAAAAGTAGAAATTGAAATCTAAACTTTTACTTAAATCTAAAACTAGTAGAAATCGGAATCTACATTCTCTCAACGTTCTAATACATGTAGAAACTGATTTCATATCTTTTTACACAGTTCTACCTTTAGTAGAATCTGAATTCTACGGATAAATATTATTAGATCCGAAAATATAGCAAGAATATAGTAGGAAATATTTGGTTTCATATTTAAAATTCAATTTTTTTAAAAAATATGTATATTTTTTTTTTAATTTTACTTTAGAAATATATTATTAAATTTAATTTTTTTAAAAAAAATTATTAAAAAATAAAAAATTAAAAAACAATATTTATTATATTATACACCCATCCAAAAATATAGCAAGGATATAAATTTTTATTTTTATTTTATCTTTTTAGAATAATATTATATTTTAATATTTATTAAAAAACAAATTTCAATTTTTTAGAATTATAATTAACTTAATTACGAATTAATAACTAAAACTATATGTGTGTTCTCTCGATATTATGCGTTTGTTCATGATGATTCCAGTAACTTCTTTTGTGCCTTATTACCAAATGCTTGATTCTACAGAATATAGGATTGGTATGTGAGGATTGAATTAGCTCATCTCCTTCTCTGAAAATTTCCTCTGTCACAGAGGGTATGATTGTCCATCAAACTGTTCAAACATGCAAAGAACCTTGGACCATCGTGCAGTCTTTCAGATTTTAAGCAGCAAATCATACATGCTTGATGCAATTCCCATTTTTTGTTGAACCAACTTACACGCAGTCATGACCAAAACATTCATAAAATCATCATAAGATTACATGTCTTGTGAATTGAAAGGAGAGGTCTTCTCATCCACCACCATAAAGAGTTAACTAAACATGACTAATAATTCCTCGTAAACATCTTAGTTATAGTGCCTGATCAATTGCTTCCAGGTAACTTTCTAGATATCACACATTCAAGATCATAGCTAAGTGAGAACATATTAAACTGATTCAAATCAAGAAACTTCGAGTTCCAAACATACTCTCAAAATGCAGATCAATAGTTTAACGCATATATACATAAGCCATAGCTAATTCAAGAAGACTAATAAAGCTTCCATGACAGTTACCAAATACCATTCAAGAAGAAGCTCATTTCAATGCTTTCTTCAGCTCCTCCGCCACGTCACCCTCCTCCTTGCTCTTCTTCCCTCCATAATCCGACGTCGTTCACTCACTACTCCACCTATCACCTCTCCCTCTACCATTACTACTCTTGTCGCTACTCCTCTCAGCTTCACGGTAGAATGTCCGTACATTCGACACCATCACTCCCCTAAGATCCTCAACAGCTCTCTTCAACTCTTTATTCTCCGACCGAAGCTCCTCCAACACCAAACACACATCACCATTCGTTCTCAAACCCGAAACTTTACCGGATCGTTCGCGGGTTTGGTTGTCTCTTTACCATTGATAAACCCATCCACGTGTTCGATCCCAATCTTATCCATCACCAGAAACGAAAAACCTCCTTAACGAAATCTCCACCGTCGGATCAAAATCACGCCTGATCCCCGTCGGAACCCTAACTCCCCACCTGAAATTCACCACCGCGCGTCCCTTCACCGGCAACGACGTCCTCGCCGCGACCTCAACACCAGACAACAACCCGGCGATATCTCCGGCGGAGGTCGACGGCACGACGTCCTCATCCCCGGAGACTCCACGACCTCAATCAACGAATCCTCCTCAGATCCATTCACCGATCTGAGCAAAGCTCCGTCGAATCCAGAGGAAGAATGAGACTTTTTGATCGAGAAGTCGCCGAATCGGGGCTTGAAGTGGAGCATGAAGGTTGGGGTGTTGTTGCTTCCTTTACCGAGGAGGTTGAACTCGGCGCTCATGAGCATGGAGGTTGAGATCGGAGAACCGAATGGCCCGGTTCCAGTTTTGACGATGAGGGACATCGGAACTGAGAGAGAGAGAGATTTTTTTGTATAGTTTTAGAATATATTATATTTTAATATTTATTAAAAATAAATTTCAATTTTTTATAATTATAATTAACCTAATTACGAATTAATAACTAAAACTATATAATTTAAGGGTAGAATTGTCATTTAAGAAATATTTAGCCTAATGAGACAATAAGTGAATCAAATTAACCTAAGGGGACAATGTCCAAAGCTATTTGGCTTAAAAAAACTATTTTCTCAAGAATATAAGGGGGGGGGGTTATTGGAACATGAATTTTTGTGTAGCTTGATGACTCTAATAGTTGAGAAGATTTTAGAAGTTAACTAGATTTAACAAATTTTATCAAATAGTTTTACATAGATTTCATGACTTATGTATAGAATTCTATTGACTGTTATTAACTTTTAAAGTACGTAATTAATGGTGGTAGGAGAAAGAAAAAACAAATTAAATGACCTATATCTAAAAATAATTTTATTAAATATCTAAAAAATCATTATACTCCTTATTTTATAGATATACATTTTTATAATTTCCAAATAAGAACTTTTTTTTCCAATTTTTTTTTCCAATTTTTTTTTTAATCTTTGAAACTCGTAAAACCCATTTGAAACTAATAAACTATTGAGAAATGAAATAATTTTATTAAATATCTAAAAATCATTATACTCCTTATTTTATAGATATGTAAATAATAATAAAAATTTATATTTTTATAATTTCCAAATATATGTTTTCGAATTTTAATTTTTTTATAAAAAAACCTTTTGAAACTATTTTTTTATTGAGAAAGGAAATAATGTTATTAAATATCTAAAAAATCATTATACTCCTTATTTTATAGATATATAAATAATAATAAAAATATATTTTTTATAATTTCAAAATATATGTTTTCAAATTTGATTTTTTTATAAAAAAATTGGAAATTTTCTTTTCAAATTGTTTTTTTAATCTTTTAAACTCAAAAAACCCTTTTGAAACTATTTTACCTAAAATGCAACTTATTCATATGACCTATAAAAATGAATATATTTAGTATATCTGGATGGAAATGAAAAATGTAAAATATAATAAGAAATGAATTTTTTCATTTATCTAAATAAAATATTTATATCCAAGTTTTAGACAAACAAAATAATCACGATATAATTCACATTTTTTCGTTGAAATCGCAAAATTATATTTTCTCGTCAAAAGTGTAAAATTACATTTTTCTTTTGATCGCACAATTTTGATGCTTTCGTCACTACCGAAAAATTACATTCTCACCAAAATATCTAAACTACATTCTCTTACTAAAACTGTAAAAATATATTTTTCCGTCAAAAATGAAAGAAAATTTTTTCTCGTAAACTTTCATTTTTTGCCAAAACTATAAACTTATGTTTTCTTCCAAAATCATAAAATTAGTTTAAACTCGAAAATTAAATTTTCTCGTAAACACACACATTTTCCCACCAAATCTCCAAATCACATATTCAGTCAAAACCGTAAGATCACATTTTCATCAAAAACACAAAATATATTTTTTCATCAAATTCATCAAATCACATTTTTCTGTAAATTCGAAAAAGTATTTTGCGTCCAAAAGTAAAATAAAATCGAAAAATATATTTTCACCAAAATGTAAAATTACATTTTTGTCAAAACTGTAAAATCACATTTTTGTCAAAACTGTAAAATCACTTTTTCGTCTGAAATAACTGAAACCACTTATTATAAAAAATTAACATACTCATTTATAATACTAAAAAAATGATTAATAAAAACAAGGATATATCTTGTATATTAAACTCATCTTAATAATAATAGAGATAAACAAATAAACATACCGTTTAGATGATATATCTAGATGAACCATTATAATAGAAAATGAATAATTTGAATAAAAAAATTCAGTTGGATCATTTAAAATTTAAATGAATCATCTAAACGGATCATATGGTCAAGGGTAACTTATTAAGAAACGAACAACACAAACTTCACTTAGGATAGTAATTAAAATATTTGTCTTAAATTTTAGTTTATCTTAAAAAAATAAGTTCTAATTTTTTTATTATTCTAAACCTGATTTCTTATATTGAGATGACATGTCGGTCGTTATATAATTAGACGGCCGTAAAATTCTGGAATCAGGAACACAAGTTGCAGTTATATTAAAATCTTAGGAATACACTTAAGAATCAAATTAAGAATACGTATAGGGTGGAAAATAATGGTTAATATAGTCTTAGATTATGCCAACGGATGATGCATCGAGAGAATCTTCCGTCCAAGTAGGGATTGGTTTGCTCCTGGTCAAAATTCATTTTATTCCCAAAACCCCATGTGCACTTTCTTATTAGTCAGACCTAGAAATATTTTAAGTTTTGGAAACAATTACTTTTTCTTAATACCCGTTTGTGGTAATGCGGACTGCTCCATTGAACTGGTTCGTTTCATTTAGCATGGCTGCATTGTTTCAGTAATGTCTTTTCTTACTTTTTAAAATATAGAAATCTTTAGTTATTACATTCATAGGTGAAATACGAATGATTTATTAGAGCTGGACACTGAGTACCACTGCGTATTGAACATTTGCATTTTAGCTGTTTCGCTTCCTCACCGTGTAGGTATGAGACTTTTAGTGTACTATTAAAGGTCTAATAGTTAATCATATCATTACATATAAAAACACATGTATGTGTGAAGAATGGAACGTAACATTTATAATCCTTTATGAATATATATATACACATATATGTATATATATACTGGGACTTTATGCGAAAGGGGATTTCTTAATGTTTTTATTAATTCATATTACCAGTTAATCAGTTTATATCGTGCCAGCTTTGGTTGTATGATTGATTTATGTAACCACAAATTGTCCCATGACACCTTTTCGCTAGATAAGGAAGACGCCATTCCAGTCGCTATGATGAGGAACTTTACCTTTTTGTAATTATAACAAAGTAGAAGCGCATAAGCCAGAAAAGAATATTCATCGTATAAAACAATATAAAAGTATTTAAAATTTCGGTATAATATATCTCATACTGATAAGTGATAACTATTTAGATAACTACGCTACTTCATGATTCCAAAAAGGTCGTTTGGGAACAATATTGAAACTGATAATAGCAATCTTTATAACCAAAAAAAAATCTTTATAACCAATTTGTTTGATAACTATAACTTAACGCAGGAAATTTTTTTTTATTAAAAACATAACAATCACAAATACAAAAAGTTGAAAGAATAGATATTCAATGTGTCTATCTACATATAAAATATAATACATATATGGTCTAAAGATTCGGTTGGTAAAAATGCCCTTGAGTGCCAACTAATGCATCAACGTTAGTAAAGATATATGCATGACTTGTAAAAACGATATTATCTTAATATTTTTATTTTCTGTATTTTAACAGTAGCAGTACTAGTGATATATACTTGACAGTGAACTACATGAACGGTACTTAACTACTTACATGTTACCTGGCTGGCGATTAATTTTTTAAAGCATGTTAAATGCTGCTGCGACGGTATTTACCAAAAGGTAAAACTAACGCGGTTAGGGACTGTAATAGTTTTTAGTTTAGAAGGTTAGTATGAATGCTAGATGTCACTAATTTTTTTACTCAACTTTTATTTGATGTACTTTATTAAAATAATCAAACGGAAGAAATAAAACCTTGATTTCCTACTATCTTTTTTATGGCGTGTGGTTACGTTGGTAGTTTTGTGAACCTCATGACTTTGAGTCTATAACATTTAGAATAAAAGTTGGCACACAAAAATTCAAAGTTTAATTTGAAATTAGGTTATTTGACATAAAATTGTCGAAGCAAAGTGTCTCTTATACATAAAGTCTCTGACAAAAATAGAGCACTCGAAGACACTATGAGATTAAAAGATATGCAATCAACTCATATGTATTCAAAGAAAAAGTGGGCTGAAGACAGTACTGGTTGATAGTAAGAGGTCAAACACACTTTCGGATAAGCTAGCTCAATCGAGCTACCCAACATGTCAATGACCTGGAAACTGGTCCTCAACAGACAACAAGGACAATACAAAAGGGGGTAAAGAATGAGAAGTTTGCAACTGCTATTATCTATTTGTCGTTTGTTGCTATGTTTTTAAGAAAGTGAATATAAGCGTGGTTTTTGAATGAACCCATGTAAGAGAAAACAAAAGAGCAATGAATACAAAACGTACACTAACCGGAAAAAGATTACATGGTTTTGAATGTGTTCAGAGGTCGTAGGGATAACAGAATCCTCTATGTGATCCAAATGGTCAACACAAGATGAGGAAAATGATACAAGTGATACTATAATAGAGTTATGAATGTGAAGGGAATGTGTTCACTCGACTGATTCCTCTACAATTTAGTAGAAAGATGGTTTACTTTATAAATGAGTTCTTTTCAATATTTAAGGAGTGATTAAAAACACATTTTCGTTGTACAAGCTAGATTCTAACAAAAAAAAGAAGGTTAGATTCTAACCGTTTACTGATAACCGTCATACTCAACTCAATTTCTTTGTCTAGAAGCACACGCAATTACACCCGTAAGCATATTACTACACAAGTTTAATTTATAAAATTTTTAACTCTCTAGCGTATTTATTTACATTTGAAGTATGTTTTCTTGTAAATATGTCTGTTCTTGAGAAATGCATGTGAACTGACTATTTAACAAGTTTTCGGACGTAACTACGTAATCATTGGCTGAAACCTCATAAAACTAATAACGAAGTTAACATTTTAGATGCCTTTAAAAATATGGTATAGGATGCTACCAAGACATGATGAACAACTGAATTATTGAAAAATGATTGACCGCTAATAATAATGAACAAACTAATTAGTAACTAAATTAAATAACTTATCGGTGACCGTGTTCCAAGGGGGAGGAGGAGCAAGCCAGCACGCAGTTTGTAAGCCTCACGTGCGTAAAACTTCTTGCCAGATTTATCTCATATGCTACTTCCCACATTGCCTCTCCGGCCGTTTCATCTTAACCGTTTCAACTACACGCTGTCATCACTTGACCTTTGTTCTTTTTCTTTTTGATAAAAAATGTTCTTTTGTTTTGGTAAACCATTGAGTACTATCATTAACCTTGATTTTACTAGTAGATAAAATTCGAGTATCATTCTTTTCTAATTATTCTTTTGGTTTTCTTAAGCTTCAAGTCTAATCGCATCATTTTAGTATTTGACTAATCTTTTGTAACTTACGTAATTTGCTTAACTCAACTTGAACAATTTCTTTTGTCATTTTTTTTTGTCATCACAACATTTCTTTGTTTAATTATAGGAACTTTGAGCACTAATATGTTAAACATACACTTAATTTACTTGTAAACGAAAACGAGTATTTTACCCCAAAAAAAACGAAAACGAGTAGTAATACTTGACACTATTCCATAACTATTTATTATCATTAAAATATCGTTTCCGTTACTCCCAAGAGCGGCGTTTATTCCGAGATTGATATAGGGAAAACTATTAATTGCACAGACATTGAGAAAATACGATTATTTTGTTTAAATGAGAATTAGTAAATTAAGGATAGAATAATGGTTAATGAGTGACACTAAGTATACAACTAATACGTCACGATTGTATAATTGTCTCCTAGAAGTGAGTCAAACATTAGGCCTTTTGACCGTTAATATTTGCCTCCAACGACAATCTATTCCGTTTTTAATTTACTTTCCTTCCTTTGTGGTGACTGATTAGAGCTCTTTAATAAAAATTAATTTTAGTCATGGAAATAAGAATTTTACATTTATTTATATTCAAATCAGAGACTGACAGCTATTTAATTAATTTGAATACTAAATATACAATTAGGTTTGACCCAAATGTATTCATAAATTATTCATCAATACACTAACTGGAATCATTTTTAAAATTGGTAACTACAGAAAACCACATGATAGTTCTCTACATATAGATAAAACAAATCATTCTATTACCAAAAGTTGATGATTTGTTTCCATTACACCTGTGATGAGTATTAATATCTTGAACAATTTTTCTCCAGTCTTAGCAATAGTTTTCTAGAATTTGACCTTAATTTATCAAAATCCAAGAATAAAACTTTTGCTGCTTTGAAAGAAACCTTAAAATGAATAAGTATTAAATTTAATTTTTGAAAGACATGATTTATGGCCTTTTATAAAGTATCTTATCTAATGGTGGATTTCTATAATATTATGTGCAAGTAAGTATAAACAAAATATCTTGCTAAGTGAATGATGTTAAGTTAGAATTCTCTCTCTCCTCGTAACTATTCAATTCTCTCTCTCATCTAACCTCAAACTTTCAAGCCTCTGTCTTTGCTCCGGCGCGTGGGGATACCGGCGGTTGGCTCGGTGTGCGTTAGCCCTACCGTCGGAGGCGTCTCTTCCTCCTCTATCTCGTCTTCCTCTTTGCTTCAGTCACTCACTTCTTTATGTCGTTAATATGTTGGACCTCTGGTTCGGACAAGAAGACAGATCCCTAGCTCCTCCCGGGGGGAGATACATCTGGTGGTTTTGTTCTTAACTGGAGGCGAGATGAGGCGGCGGAGGCTGTGTGTTGGTTGGAGTCGGCTTTTAGGGTTTGATTCCAGTAGATCTCCTTTTTCCCTTTGTAGATCTGGCCGGCTTTCTTTGGTGGTGGTGGCGCGTGTTGCTCCGGGATCTCTCTCTCCTTGTTCTTCTCTCAGTATGGTTTGTCTCGAGTCTTCGTTCTCGTTGTGGAGTGGTTCGTGAAGCTTTTTCTGTTCACCGGAGCTGGGTGTCCTGTTTCGGTGGCGTCTTAGCTTCCTTTCAAGAGAGACGGCGGTTCTCGTCGGTTCGTGCTCGGATCCATGGTGGTCGTGTGGCGACTGTGTCTCTGTGGTTTGGCGTCTGCAACTCGAATTTCATGTGGAGGAACTGTCGTCTATGGCAGGGGTCTCACCATTTTTTTGTGGTTGCTCTCTCTTTGATGGTCTAAGCTCATGTCTAGGTCCTTGCTCAGTTCATCTCGCGAGTGGACTGTTTTCTTCTGCCCTCTCTCGGTGCTTCGTTGTGTCCTCTGCGGGGAGTGGCCGAGCTGCTCAATGAAGGTCGCCTTAGGTTCTCTAAGCGCGAACCAGGTCGTTATTCACTTGCTCGTTGGAGTCTTCGGGTAGTGGATGTGGGGAGGCCTGGGTGGAGATTAGTCATCCCAGTGCGGAGAAGGATGCTTGTTCTTCTTTGTAGATTAAACTCCAACTTTTTTGCAGGGTTTCGAAGTTTTTGGTTCTAGTGTTGCCTCCATCGCGACCCGTTTGTTAGGATGGTCGAGGGCGTTTGTTCCAGCAGTGCTGTCTCACGGCTAGGGTGTTCTCTCTCATTCGCTTAGTGTCTCCGAGACTGATGGGCAGCTGTAAAGGTTTGTTTTCTCATCATAATCGGAGTATTGCGCTTCAAGTACAATTTAAGTTACGGGCTAGAAGAGATCGTCAAATTCCAGCTACTTCGATGATGTCACACGAGGACCGGCATCCGAGGCGACGAGGTAAACCTCACACTCGAGTGGTTAACATTGTCGGATGAGAACGGGTTTGGCAGTCTAAGGATTCTCCGAACTAGGTAGCGGATGGCGTCGGTTTAGTGAGCGAGCGAAGTTATTCTAGATAGGTTTTGATATAGATCATTTTGGTTGATTCGATGCCTGTATCTAACGCTGTAATTCCCGGATCTCGGGTTGAATTAAATAGTATCTATTTAAAAAAAAAAAAAACAAAAAAAACAAAATATCTTGCTATTTAATTATGAACTTTTGAGTAGATGTAATTTCTTATGTCTTGCAGTATTTCTGACTTTCTGTTGTGTATATTTTTATATTCTTGAAAGTAATCTAAATTTTGTTAAACCTGTATTTTTGAGATTTTTAAACAAGAATGCATATTTTAAAAATAAATAAAACACTCCACCAGACCTACCACTGGGAAATAAATAAATAAATAAAAAAGAAGAAGAGAGTACAAACGAATGATAATTAAATTCTTTTACCGATCCTTTTTGATGAAAAAAGTTGATATATCTACTTTTTTCACCTCATCAATCAAAAGCTGACTATAAATAACCCACATTACTGCTTCCTCTCTCTCTCATACCTCTCCCCTCTCTTTCTATCTCCTTTGCCAGGCGGCGTTTTCTCTTACAAGAACCTGACAAGAGAAGCAACAGAGAGAGAGAGTTTACCATTCTACCCTCACAACTGAAAACTGCGAATACGGTTTGGTTTCTTCTTCCTCTTCTTGTTGTGTGTCTTTAAAGAAAAAAAAAATAAAAACAAGACTCATCAGTGGCGCCGGTAACATAATAAACTCCAACGAAGAGAGCAAATGATTGATACTGGAAGATACCTTATCGGTGTCGCCGGTGCTAGCGGCTTCGGCTCAAAGTCCACCGCCGATGAGGTAACCGAGAACTGTGACCTTCGTTCCATAACAGCCATAATCACCGGTTAGTGTTTTTTTTTCCTTTCTTTTCAGTTTAATCCTCTTATTCAAGTTTTCCGGTGACTCGAGATTCTTTTTCTCATTTGGTGAAGGTGCGACGTCGGGGATCGGAGCAGAGACGGCGAGAGTGTTGGCTAAGCGAGGAGCGAGGCTAGTTTTCCCGGCGAGGAACGTGAAAGCGGCGGAAGAAGCGAAAGCAAGGATCGTATCTGAGTTTCCTGAGGCGGAGATAGTCGTCATGGAGCTTGATCTCAGCTCTATCTCCTCCGTACGGAGCTTCGTCGCCGGCTTTGAATCTCTTGATCTACCTCTTAACCTTCTCATGTAAGTCAAATTCTTCTTAAAACCATTTTATGTTTTACTAATATTCTTGAAATTTATACGTTTATGAAATTATGAGTATTAGATTTTTGGGTGTGTTAAATTGCTTTAATGACGTAATAATAACCATGTTTGCTTATATCTTTCGCAGAAAATCAAATTAATCCTTTTCAAAAAAATAAAAATAAATCTATATGCATGTATATATATTTATGCACGCATGTACGTGCGGATTATTTTTCTTTCTGGGAATTTATGTGAACAGAACATAATTAATATTGTATCAGTTCTGAGTTTTTATTTGTATGGGATTTGATTTAAATACCATCTTCTCTAATTTAATATTTGTACAAATGTCAAATCAGAAACAACGCAGGCAGATTAGCACATGAACATGCAATATCCGAAGACGGGATCGAGATGACATTTGCCACTAATTATCTAGGTGATCTTTTCTTAATACGATTCCCACAGTCTATGACAGATCTTAATTCTTAGCAAAAACAATGACAGATCCTAATTACCTAATAATATACTATAGTAGTTTTATTATTTTGTTAATTGCCTTCTTAATCAATAGTCTTTTTAAAAAATGTTGTCAGGTCATTTTCTATTGACGAATCTGCTACTAAGGAAGATGATTCAAACGGCAGAGGAAACAGGAGTTCAAGGGAGGATAGTTAACGTTACGTCCGGCATTCACGGCTGGTTTTCCGGCGACTTGATCGAATATCTCCGGCAAATATCCCAACCAAAGTGGTAATAAGATTTCTTTTGCTTCTACTAGTATAAAGATGCATTTTAAATTTTCCATATCATTTTTTTAAAACTCCAAATGAGAAAGTAAATATGCAACACATCTATGTTTCATATAAAGGGTCCAATAGCTATACTCAAAATGTAGAGTAGGATTGGGTTTCTTGAGAATTTACTTTTCACCAAAACAAAAAGCTGCGTAGTTGTTTTTACTGGTGAGTGACAGTAAGTTGATAGGAGGGTAATAAAATGGGAAAGTGAAAGTAAATGGTTTTGTATCCTAGTAATAACATTTTCTTTTGCTTTTGTTTTGGTTAATGTGTGTGGACGATCGATTAGTCAATTCGATGCGACACGTGCTTATGCTCTCTCGAAGCTTGCCAACGTTTTGCATACCAAGGAGCTCTCGTCTAGACTCCAGGTCTCTTTCTCTCCTACCTCTCTCTCTCTCTCTCACTTATTTACATTCCAATTTATTACACCCCAAAAAAGGTTATTATTCCAACAAAAAAAAACAAAAAGCATTATGGTAGAAGTTAATAATGTGTCATAGTAATGGTCCATTCTCTGTAAAAAGGATTTATTGAGTTTTCTGTGTAAATAAAGGATTTATTGAGTTTTCTGTGTGCACAAAAAAAGAAAAAGGTAAGGGTGTTTCAAAAAAATAAAAGGGTAAGGATGGAGAAGGGACAACAAAAAACCTAGATAACTAGGGTTTGTATTCCAACCAGTTATACCAAAAGAGTTAGTTAAGCTTGACTTTTGAGTTTTGCCCATAGTTAGCTTTAAGACAATCATGTGGGTCTTTTAAAAATAAAGTGATTAATTTTTTCTTTGTAGAAATATAATTTAATGGAAAATACATTCATGTTTGCAGAAAATTGGAGCGAACGTGACGGTAAACTGCGTACACCCAGGGGTTGTAAAAACCCGGTTAACAAGAGACCGGGAAGGCTTATTGACAGGTTGGTTTATCTTATTTATTTTTGTTTCCACTGAGATATTTGTTTATCTTGAATAATACTACTAATCATGACAATTAAGATTCTTAATTATGTCTATATGATTTCCCTTTTGTCTTTTTTTTTCCTACTCAGATCTCGTCTTCTTCCTGACTTCCAAGTTCCTTAAGACCGTCCACCAAGTAATATAAACTCTTTTCTAGCTATCTTTTTTGTTTGTTAATCATTTTGTTTTATTAGACTTATGAGCTTACTTTTGTTTTGATTTTGGATGGGATTAGGCAGCAGCAACGACGTGTTACGTGGCAACAAATCCAAGGTTGGTGAACGTATCGGGAAAGTACTTTACGGACTGCAATGAAACCACACCATCTGGACTCGGATCTAACTCCTCCGAAGCTACCAAATTATGGGCTGCATCTGAGATTCTGGTAACTCAACATTCCAAGACCGGGTTCGACCCACTTAGCTAAAGAACACATTACTAACTATTATCTTATCTTATATACCCCTAGGAAAAATATATACATACATCTAAGTAGCTGAGAACAAAAATACTATGAATTAGTTGATCCCCCGAAGTTATGATATTCAAGATTCTCATAAACATAATAACATATTTATATACATAATTAGCGTTCTCTTTCAATAGTACTAATGCGAAGCTGATGTACATTTAAGTTTGTTTATACCAAGTTATATTATCAAAGAATCAATATACCCAAGTTTTCTTTTTAATATTTTTCTTCATCGATCAATAAAGGAGGAGATTATGTATGTACGATGTAAAGCTCAGTTTGGACTATTATACTTAACTTAGAATATTAAAATTATAAGTGGGAAATCATAATGTCAATCATGAGTTTCGAAAGTGCTCCGAAGTTGTGCTCGTCTTTTGATAATTCTTGTGATTAACTCATTTGGACTGATGCAAGAGATCTTTCTATCTCTTTCACTTTCATAGTTAATTTTTTCTTAAATAATCTTTTTGACATTGACTATCCATATGTCCATGTGAGGTTATTAAAAAAAGAAGTCCTGGCTTTCCATCACTGTTTTGGTATTACGTGTTGTGCAATTTGGATGTTGATTTTATAATAATGCGTATTGCACTTTGCATTGATTACTTACCCTTGCTTTTTATCCTTAAATCTATATACTTAAAGTAACTAGGAAACTGTTATGTTTTCATTAAAATGCAGTATAAAACTAAACTAAGCCGCACTAATATTCTGTGTTAATGCAAATATTCATAGAAGATGAATCAGCAGAAACGGTATGGCGAAAATATAAGTGGATATGGTTGAAACATTAACAAAGAAAAAAGAAAAGAAAACAAGATGTAAAGGGAGAAGAGAAAGATAGATAGGAATCGGTTAGATAGGGGGACTTTAAGATTTAGGACCATATAAAATGGCGCATGATAATACTTTTACGCATGGGTCTCTTCTCCTCTCTTCTCTTTTTCTTTTTTATAAAAGAGAGATACCCTACTAACATGCGCCAGGGGTTTTCTCTTCTTGAAAAAAAACTCTCGTGCGCCACCAAATTGCTCCGTCCTTACCGGTTTTTAATCATTACACAAGAAAAAGAGAAGAAAAGAGAAAGACGGTTGGTGCAAAGAAAAGAGCTTAAAACTTAAACAAGCAACAATGCACAGACACATACATAAGTCAGTTTCAAGATCACTTTAGTATTATAATAATAGTCTAGTAAGTATGTAAGGTGTAACGCAACATGGCTCACATATGCGAGACATGAATAAACTATACTTATACTTTGACGTGTAGATTAAGAGTTAATTCGCTGAAAATAACTACTAAGTGTAGCAAACATAAATTGTAAAAGGTGCGCATATATAAGGTGAGCTGTGTAAGCATACTGTTATTTACATCTAATACACTTTCCTCAAGCCTAATCCTAGTCTTGGTGTTGGAGAGAAGTGGATCAGAGGCGGCCTGACAGAAACGAAAGAAGTAAGGTGGTTCCGACCGGCACTAAATTTATAAATTATACGGCCACTTCCAAATCTAACCTATTCGATAGTTCAGGTGGTAACTCTATGCATTAATGTAGAAGAGGTGGAGAGTTCGGCTAACCTTGATGACATTAAAAAAAAAAAATTCTCCATGAAAAAAATTAATATAATTATCTACATCTTTTTAGATTTGCTTTCAACTCAATAATTATAAGGACAGATTCCAAGTGGAAGAAAAGGATCTAGATGCAGTATTCGTTAAATTGTCAACATGTGGATTTGTGGTTAAGACGTGATGCAGTATTCGTTAAATCCACATTTGACATGATCACAAACTGTATGACAATCAAATCTTCATATGTTTGGTGCTTTCATGGAAAACATGCTTGTACTCATGATATGCATTAGGGATTTGTTCACATAAAAGATTTGCAAGATTCGTAACAACAATCTTTAAAACATTAAGTAGTTGAGTGACTCACATGTAGTGAGAACCATACTATGATACTATTTATTACTCTATTTCCTTGTTACTACTACTCACCATAAGCTTTTATTGGATTTTCAACAAAGAATTGCAAAAATAAATGGAAAAACCAATAACGTCTTATTCGGTTATGTAGTCTAATCATCAAACATAAAACATTTAAGCATAATGTAGAAAAGTCTTTCACGTGGTTCTAATAGAGTGAAACTTCTATAAATTAATAATGTTAGGACAATACCAAAATTTTATTTTTTTATTAATTTATAAAAATATTAATTTATCGATATACTAATTAAACCAAAAATTCAATTTGAGACTATAAAATTATATTATTTTATCGAGTATTAATTTATAGAGATTTTACTATACTATATTTAAGAGTGAACAAACTTCAACTATATTTTTGTTTAATTACCAAAGTGAATATATATATATATATGTGTGTGTGTGTGTGCACGCATATATATATATATAGATATGTATATAAGTGTAGAAGTGAGATGTACAAAGTATAATGTTTTTTTTTTGACATCGTACAAGTATAATGTTATTTACATGATTACATGTAAAAATAGACGAAAACCATCTTTAGTGACGGGATGAGGTAGCTCATCTGGCAAAGGACCTTAGAGGCCAATTGTCATGACACTAGGCGGTGGTGAACTGCCTCTTCCATGTCACCAAAGTGGTACTGGACCTAGGGCCAGGTACAACCCTCTCGGGTGAAGTGCACCGCTGCCTGACCGGGTCCAGAGAATGATCCGCGAAGTGGGATTATCAAAAAAAAAAAAAAACCATCCTTAGTGGACCTATATTGGAGAATGTAGTAATTTTAAATTAAGAAAGCCCAAATTTATTTAGGCGTCCAAAGTAACAACTTATTGGCAAACTGCGATGTTTAATATTTAACCTAGGTGTTGGTATAATCTAGTATGGGTTTGGGTCTGTCTTCTAAAAGCCCAATAGTATTGTATAAAAGTTTGTCGATTCATTGCCTACGTGACGACCAACTACTGTTCAATATCCAGATGTTTATCAATAAAAGAAGAACGCTCTACAAAAAAATCTACTCCTCAAAGTAAATATTCTTTTCCTGATCAACCCATTGCATGAAGTAGAATCAACGGCCGCCAAATAGCTATACTAACAAGAAAAATAGAACACAACTAAATTCAAACTGAAAAAAGATTGAATGTTGTGCAAGTACAAAACTCATGTACCTCCCCAGTCGAAGTGTCATGTTTACGCTATGCTCGCTACGACCATGAGTTTTAGAAGAGACCATATATAAATTCATGTAAATGCTTTCTAGACTAATTTTCAATCCAAAGTTAAAAGGTCTAGCTTCAAGTATTCCATAAGCAGATATATAACTATGCTGGTAAAAGGTCTTCTGTTGTGCATTTTGATGGCAAGTTGTTAATAAGTGCGGTTTTGTCCACACGTGCTGACATGGACCGCAACTTCGAAGATGCTTATCCACGCACTACGTGGGAGCCGTAAGTAAATCCAACGGTCCAGATTGGGTGGACCTTTTCTTCGGCGAAAATTATCAGACAAGGCACGCGCATGAGGGACGTGGGACCTCGACTTCACCGGCCACAAAACCGTTCATGAATTGGTTCGGTCAACTCAAGTTATCACACTTGTCACCATCTCAGACGTCCGGTATGGCGTCTTATTACTAATGTTTGCCGTCAAAATTATCATAATTTGTACTGAAATTGTTATAAAACTATTAAAATATTTTCATTTTAAAAGAAAATCCAAGGAACAAGGTTTACTTGAGCCATTTTCATGCGTTTTATGCTGGAGATGATTAAATTTTGTATTATAAATATAATGAATGTATATGGTAAACTTAATCGGTGATAAGAAGATGACTAATCAGTCGTGGCACGTGGAGTGAAGGAAATTAGGTGCTCCTGAGCTGTTTTGTACACTAAGATAGTTACGTGGAGATGATACATAGGCCATGTTTAATCAGGGACCCAGGCTAATCAAACACACCGTCATTATTACGGTCATTTGAAAAATTCCTGAGTAGATACTAGCCGTCCAATGAAATCAGCATAAATTCGTGCGATACAGATAAATTACAGCCTAATTGGAATCTTAATACACACGAGAAAAAACGGATAAGTTTGAATAAGCAGATTACTTTTCTTAATCTGAGGGCATGTGGACCTACAAGGGCGTCTTGTCTTTGTATGTCGTAGATAAGTTGCCAAAAAAAAGTTGCCAAGAAATAAGAAAATGTGTTTATTTTGTTTTTATTTGATTTTGAGAATAGAAGAGGTCGACCAAATAAGTTAGAATACGAAGAGGTCTATTCGTCAATGGATGGTCAACTTACTATGTACTTGAAGTTTCCTCCGTACAAATATGATAGTAAAGTATTATTGTTAAACTTCGTGAAAAATGTATACTTTACAGCTTTTGGACAACTTATTAAATTTGACAATTGTTTTATAAAGACAATCTTCTGATAAGATAGTTAAAAAGAAGGATGAAGATATCTCTGTGCATAACTATTTTGTTTTCAAAAAGATAAGTTTTGATTTTACGTTCAATACTAGTTGTGTTGATGCGTTTTACTTGTCGAGTAATATGCTCCTAAGATAAGAGATGCGACTTACACATGGTGAATATATATAATTAAAATAAAAAATTTTAGTATTGACAAATTTAAAATTTACATATGATTGATTTTATATGTATTTGAAATCAGAAATAATTCTAATTAGAACCGTAGATCAAAGCTTAGAATTTAATAGACCTTATTTTCATATATCTTATTACTTTTCAGTGTTTGAGTGATGAAAAATAAACGGAGTGTCTCTAGACTTGATTGGTAGAGTATTAACAAATTCCTTAATGCTCTCTTAAAAAGCACTTGGTAAAATATTTGCATTCAAAATATATAAAGTTTCAAAACTAATTTAATATAATTTATTTATTTGTGTAATAATATTAGAAAATTATATTTTACAAATTATATTTTTTTTTAAAAATAAGTTAGATTTTAAATCATTTTTAAAAACAATATTTTAAGTTTTTCAAATAAACAATTTAAAATTAATTATGGTCATGATTTAACATAACCATAATGATTTAAAAAATTAAACGATTTAAAAATTAACAAATTAAAAACTAACTCAGTTTTATATTATGATTTAACAATTTAAAAATTAATTATGGTTATGAGAAGTTTACATTCACGTGTTAATCTTATTTATCTTCAATTTTTTCTCTTGTTTTGTTTTTTATTTTGGTTAT